GGAGCTGGTGCTTCCCTTTTGCACTCACCTCACTATCACAGCATTTGGGGGTGTGCTTGGGCAGTAATAGCTCCTTCAGTGAAAACTGTTAGCAAAGTTAGCAGGAAAAAAGTACTTGACTGCTTTGCCAAAGTTCAGAATGCAGTCTAACTCCATAATGACATTATTATATTCCTGGAAAAATTATGAATTCAGTTTCATTTGAAGCCACTTATCGCACCTCATGAAAAACAGAAGGCGGTGGCAATTCTTGAGGACAATCACACATCTTGCTTTGCCAGTATGTGAGGTTTTGAAAGCTATTCAATCTGCTTTCTGATTTTTGTACTGAACGTGTTTGCTTTTCTGAAAAAAATGCCATAAATGGCAGTAACCCGCTGTAATAGCCAACAATGGAGAAAAATGCCAGCTTTTGTACCACTCACTCATGCAATCATGCATACTGCAGAAAATTACATCCATGTTTTTTCCCATAACAAGATATTAATCTGTTGCCACAATTCCAATAATCAAAACTAAAACTATAGTGTGATATGTAAAATGGCAGTTTTCTTTTGATCTCATTCTGTCAAAGGAAAAATCGGATCCCTAATAATTAGATCTCTATGTAATACTACACATTTTGAAAAAAAAAAAAAGAAACTATCACATGAAGTATATGCCTCCCCACAGGCAATGGAAAAGCACATCTACACTTCAGTGCCTTCTGTTACTGCTGCTGGCAGATGCTAACAGGCTTAATTTTTACCAAGAAGGCACACAAACGTCCTTTGTAGCGTTTCAGATCCAAACTCCTTAGAAACACTGGGTACAGCCGTTCAAAAAGAATCTCTGACTCTCTTCTGCTGATTTACACATACTGTAGAGTTGTATACAGATATATAGGCATGTATAAGCAAATACCCTGATCAAACACAACCAAGTTACAGTGGCCTAATGAGTTGCCAGTTGCCAGCTGATTGAGCCTTTTTCCTGATACTTAGGATGAGCTGAGCAGATGTGCAAGATGCATGCAGGACTTCAGCTTGGTTTTCTGTCTTAGCTCAGCCTTGTTCAACCATGATCTGTATCTGTGCACACACATATTTGTCAGACATTACCTTCCATTCTTGTCTTAGCTCATTCAGCTGAAGAGAAAAGCCAGGCAACATCCTCCTAAGAATTGCTGATAATAATTATGGGAACTGAGCTTGTACTCAGCTATCAATACAGAAGACATACAAATCTATATATCACTTTTAGGTGCACTTTTCAGTCCATGGGTTCACAAATGTTTTTCTTTCTTTCTTCATTCTCCTCAAACTCTGACTTCTCCAGTCAGTCATTGTCAGCTAACATATACCACACAATAAAGGCATTTAAAACCAAGTTACCCCTCTTGATAAATAATACCCCTCACAATTCAGGATGATAAGAAAAATCTTATCTTTCACCAAATCTAGAGAAAGACAAGGAATAAAAACTCTATCAGGAAGGCAATCTACTAAAAACCTTGTTAAAGCTGACTTTTCTCAGCAGAAAGGATGAAATGAAACCTCTTTAATGAAACAAATGGGGAGGGGGGGGGGGGGAAAAAATTTTTCCCCAAAACCCCACTTCAAAACAAACAAAAATTTAATGAAACAAATGGGGAGGGGGGGGGGGGAAAAAATTTTTCCCCAAAACCCCAATTCAAAGTAAAACAAATACATTTCCATTTACTTGTGAAAAAGTCCAGGACAATAAAATACATACACTGACTCTAGTGCTATTCCTATTGGATAATTGTGGCCCCTGAGCAACACTTCCAGGGAAGACTGAGTCCTTTCAAAGATTTTTCAATAATTTTGCATGGGTTCTTTGTGGTGTGGTCAGCCAAGACGGGCAAAAGAAAACCTAAACTCTCTCATAACACTTACATGGCTAGTGTGGTATTTGTCTATCTGGTATTTGAGTCCTGGACTCTAGGAAGTAAATCCAAATATTACCTTGCTTTCCGTGTGACCTTCCCCTTTAAAAGACAGAAAGATGGCCAACAACTAAGCATCCGAGGTACAGAGTTTACGTAGGCAATATATATTTTACACAACTGAATATCATGTGGGCATGTTTGACTGAAGGATTGCCATTTGTATTCCTAGCATATGACCTATTCACAGCTACTAGCTGGCAGACTGCTAAAACAATTGTTTGCACTTTACGGACTATGGTCATGGCTGTATCTCGTGGCATTCAAATTTTTTGACAGGAAATACAGCTTTTCCATTATTTTCAGGCTACTTTTCAACTAATTACTATATCACAGATAAACCATGCTAACAAAAACATTGTTTGCTAAGATGTATGGAGAAGAAAATTAGGGGGTTTTACATAAAAAAATTTTTTTTCACTCCTACTTATCCTTTGTTTTTTTACTCCTGTTTATTCTTTTCTTTGGGATAATCATGTCCATCTTTTCAATAGCTCATTGTCTGTAAAATAACTCCAGGCAAAAGCCTATTGAAATGTCTAATATGAACCAGAACAGCTTTGTCCAGTTCTGATATTGGTTACACTTGAGCTGGCTAAGAAAACATAGCTCAAAAATATGAAGGATTCTTACTGCACAAGAAACATTATTAGAAGCATATTTTCCTTAGCAGAAAAATGAAAATAGGCAGCAGATGTAAAGAAAAAAAAAGTTCATAGCTTTGGTAAATCTCTCAGATATTATTGTGTTCAGCAGTTTGCTACCTTAGTGTAACTGGATATACATAAGATGAATATCAGACCTAAGTATCTCACAGTGGGAAAACTAAACTTGATACGATTTCAGGGAAGTAGGGAGTTGCTTCTCACAGCAAAGTCCACATACACACATTTGCTTCTCTCAGGACATAGCAGCTTCAAAACACTTTATTCTTAATAAAAAATGAATGTTAGTAGTCCAGTATTTATGACAACTTCATAGTACTGCTATGCTTGTGCTGGGACCAAAAGAAACAAATCTCTGTAAAGAAAACAGATTGTAGTTTCAACTTCTCTATAAGTTTATTACTCTCACTTTCAGTACTTTGCCCTACTTATGCAAACTATAGTGGTTGAAATGAAAAAGCATTTGTTCTAGAGATCATAATTCTAGGAGGTCTGAGTGAGAATAAATTCAGAGTTAGCCCAGTTTAGCTGAAGAGTAGTAAAGATATCTGTGTTAATTATGGGAAAAGAAAATCCTACCTGTTGTTTAGAGTTTGGATGAAGATATTATATAGTTCTAATGTCATATAAATATTCTATACAGTTTCTGGTGGTTAATAGCATTGAAGAGAAAACAGACTTGCATTTCCAAGGCATAGTTTGAAACCATTTCAGGGACAGTGTCGATGCAGTTTGAACCTCACATGATGCATACAGCAGTGCTTTGGATGAAAGATGAGAAAATCCAGTCACCATGGTGGTGGTAAAGGAGGGGAATATGGAGGAGAGGAGGCAGATTAGTGAAGCTGGACAGCACTGAAACAACTGACAAAACCAGAGAAACAGATAGATTGCACAGAGACTGAAATATAGATTAATGTTGAGTAAACAATATTTTGATCTTGATGAACTGTGAGAAAGACCCGCTATAAGACCAGTGTAGGAAGGAATCAAATCTACCCATGAAATACTAATCTGAGGTAAAGTAAAAGAAAAAATATCACATTAAGAAGCAACAATCATATTTACAGAAGTTACAGTTTGCAGCTGCAAAAACAGGCTCATAAAAGACTTTATAAGGATGATAATTTCACAATTTCTCACTAGTAACAACTCAGGTTTCAAACTACAGAGTCTTTCTTGGAAAGATTTTTAAAAGTGGAACTTGTGTTTTGGTCTATTATTTTCTAACAAATAGAAATTTCCTCCTTGTCATAGTTCTCATTAAATCTTAATTGTTTTTACTGGCTTTTGGTTTCCATGCCATATAACTCGAGTATGAATGAAGGCAGCTCAGAAAATGGATTATTTGGATTTATAAGTTCTCTGATAGTGAATAAAACCACAGTGGCTAAATCTGTACTAGTCTCACCTACACACATGCTTGACAGATGAAATAATAGCCAAATTCTCCAAGCTGTCACCAAGAAAACAGTTATTTTTCACAAGGTACAAATTGGAAATTTTTCTGGTTTTAAACAGGTTGAAGAAACTCGGAAAGCAGGAAAAATAAAATTACTAAAGAAACTAAGAGCAAACAGTGAGTAGCCATTGGTAGCTTATGGATGCATAGATGAGTACTATGAATTTCTGGTATTCATCTAATAAATCCTTCGTAGCCTGTACTCACACACACAAATCACCTAGAAACTGGCTAATGATACACAAATAACCCAGCTACAAATGTATTCTCATTTTTACTTTTTTTCACTGTCTCACTCTACCTCTTCTATGGTTTAATTCTGCTAGGCAGAACCTGTCCCTCTACCCACATAAATCCTCTTCTACTACAGATCTGTGTTTAGCAGTGGGGGGAGCAATAGCAGACCCATGTTTCTTGGGTCTATGGAACTGGTAGTTACAGCCTTTCACCAAGAGGCTGCTTTTCCAAGTGCAGCTCAGCACTGCTAAAACGCTCTCAGTGCTGGAGAGATGTGCAAACACTGGATCGGGTATGGTGGGTTCAGCATAGTCTGTAATCACAGATGTGCCCCCACCCCAGAAAACATTCAAATCAATTAGAATTCAGAGTAATTTCTCAGTTTTTCTCTGCTTTAGAGGACTAAGGGAATGAAGTCACTCTCCAGTAGTCTTTACATCACTGATGTATGTCTTGGCCCCTTAAAAGGAGATACTTAAAGAACAGATTTAAGGCATAGGAGCCTTGAACTCCTCTGGAGACAGAAATGTTGCACTCTGCTGTAATGAGACAAAACAGCTTGTGCTTTCAGGTTATTTTGCTGCTTTATCAAATTTCATACTATATGACCTTTCTCTGCCCATCATCAATATGGCACCTTAATAGGGACTAAATTAATTTTTATGGCACCCGAGAGTCTCCCGTTCAAGTGAGCTGTCCATGACTGCTAAGCGTCCTAGAACACACATGCTCAGAACAGACAAAGCAAATTAAGAAAATACGTTTCCTAAATAATTCATGCAGTTCTTCCATGTCAGCTCTTACTGGCTTTTTAAAGAAAACAGTAGTGTTGCTTACAGAAAATGCTTTCTGCTTTCCTAGGGAGGAAAAAGCTTGTGAAGCAAGCAGGATAAATAAGAAGGGGTAGAAGAGGCACTCGACAGTCTTCTGTTAACACAGAAAATAATGTTTCTGTTTCTTGTAGTGGTTATTTACAGTGACAGCTGAAAACATTTAATTTGCATAATGAACAGACTGACATATTACCTTTTGATGCATTCAGGGAGATATAATTAGCTGAGAAGCCCTCAGATGCAATGCTGTGATCGGTCACAAAGTACAACATCATCATATTGCCACCACTAGTGAGAGATGGTGGAATTGATCTTCCACAGTACCTGCAGCAAAAAGATACCTCAAGTTGCGTGGCAGTACTTTATGAAGCATCTGTATCACTGGAAGAGGATTCAGCTTTCCTGAGAAGTTTGAACAGCTACACATACACAAATCTCTCCTTTGGATGATACAGATCCCAGCCATACACCCTGTATCATGGGACTAAAGAGCACACTATGTGTACAAAAGTACCAATCTAACTTGCGTGGTAAATTAGAGGAGAAACTGTTCATCAGGTTGTCAAATTCTTATTGAAATTTGTCTATGCTGTACTGACAACGTATTCTGTTCTTTTGTAGGAGTCGAAGTGGCTGGCCAAAGACTAAGGTTGAAAAACACTCTCCATTATAATATGAGAGTCATTTGCTCCATATTTTCCAAAATACTGCCATGTTAGCCAACTACTTTACAGTTTGTAGCTGCAGCTGGATATTGTCCCTAAGTAGTTCAGTTGTTCTTGAATTCTAGGACAGCAAGAAAACTCTGTGTGTACCCCAATTGGGGAAGGGGGGAAAAAAAGAAAAGATTCTTCCCTAAAATAAAATCACGTATCAGGAGAAAGTGGAAACAAAATCCTATAAAATGCAGACTTCAGTTCAGGTTTTGCTGAGATTCAAATGCACAATCTTTTAAGTAATGTTTCTTTCACTTCGGCAAGTGTTTCGAATCATGTCTTTTCCTGGGCACAGATATATTAATGCTTTTGAACTTTTTTCCCATAAATCAAAATGTTAATGGAGCTGCACAATGCCAGCTATTGAAACCTGCCCTTAAAAAAGCTGTCCTCTTGACACAAGTTAGTTTCTCCCAGTATACTATTTATTAAATGTGGTTCTCATTCCATGGTCAAAGAAAGCAAGCTGCCTTTACTATGCTAGGCAGAAAAATTGCTGCTACTGATTCTGTAATGCAGAGGAATTAATCTATGCACAAAATTTAAGGAAGCAAATTGGATTTTGAGATCTATAGAAGAGTGTTCACCCTACAGTAATTCAGCACTGTAGGCTAATGGACATACTCACCTTCCCAATTTTTGCACAGTGCTGTTGTCATATATTTCAAGATAATCCTTTCTGCAACTATAATCAAATGCCAAGTTAAATGAAGTGAATGTCAGGCGGATAAGATAGCCGGGTTGAATGTTAATAATCCAGGTACAGTTAATACCATGTGGGTAGACATCTGGGTGACCAGGACTTGTAATGGTTCCTTCTGGTCCAGTGAGAGTCTCTCCACATACTGCAGAGATTTAAAACATCAAGTTAAATGATTTACTTATTAAAAAAATAGGCCTTTATAAAACTGGTTACTTTTCTTTCTGAAATCTCATAGTCTTTTTTTCCGCGATGTATGCTAATTGATTTAAAATTTATCTCCTGTTACACCGTCATAAAACTTGATGGCCAACTGTTTTCGGTGTAGAGGAAAATTTTGAAAGTCCTAACACCCTACATAGAAAACAAAAAAAAAATCCTTACCTGCATCTATTGGCCAGTACTCAGCTCTGAAGCCAAGGTTGGTAAGAGACGAAGCTCTGAATTTGATATAGAGATTGTTCCGTGTAGATTGCACTATAGATGGTACAGCTGTACCACAGTATTTCTCCAAAAGAGGAGAGTCTCTGTTGTTGCCATCTCTGACCTGAAGAACAAGTGTATTCAAAATATCCCATACAAATTTCTATTATATTAAAGTTGTAAGTATAAAGAAATTCATAAGAACCACATAAAAGAGATCCTGAGTAAGTCAAACCCTACCCTTTCTTCAGTCTAGTTTCTACTGCAGGCACATACAATGCAACCTTACGACTGCCAGAGAAGCACTCTCCCACCCAAATCATGTCAGATGGAGGAAAACTGAGATCTTACACCCTCGACGGTAAGTGGCACATAAACCTCCAGGTCCGTCTATTTAAAGACACTTGATACTCATCTCTGATTATCATCTTTGGAGAACCAAGAAAAGATTTGGGATCCCATTACGAACCTGGAAAAGCTTTTATAACTGCTGTAAGAAGTGCTTGTCTATCAAGCAGTTCTGCTTTGGTGGAGATGAGTATGAGAAGGAACATACAGATAAGAATGTATCTACTATTCATAGTATGTGTATTATTCTTTACCTCAACGTAGTCTGAGTCACAAGTGGTTGTATTTCGAATGTCAAAGTCAATGAAGTTAAGAATCACCACTTTGCTAGCTGGCTGGGAGATGATCCACTCACAGGTCTTTGGGTGAAGGGACATCCTGGGGTAGTAGGGTGAATGGATAGTGCCTGCTCCAGACAAGGAGCCTCCACAGGCTGCCAAGAGACGCCAGGAATCAGTACTTGTGATGAACCATTTCAAGGAATGTATTATAATGTGATGTCTATCAAATATCACTATGAAATTAGAAGTAAACCACCCCTAAAGTCCTGTCTTCTTACAGTATCTACTGCAGATCATCCAAGCAGTATTAAGAAAGTATTTAAAAGAACATATTGATGTAAGTATAGAATAACCATGAAGATCAATCTAACTGTGCCCATGAAAACTAATGGATTTGACTCATTTGTTTCACAGACATAGATGGATTTGTTGGTGATTAAGAACTAGAAGATAGGAAAAATGAAAGTATAGGCAGAACTATAGCTATATCATCTTTGGTATGTTAGTGGTGATTTATCATTAATAGAAGCAATGAGGGGTGCATTTCCAAGCATTGTAGGAGTGCCTACACCAGACCTCCTGCAGGCATCATCTTAGCATTTCTAAAAGTAGCAATAAATAAATAAATTGACTCTATTTTTTTCTTTCCTTTCTTTTGAAGTTTGTCTAAAACTCATTACATGGATAATATAGCACGGAAATGACTGGAAGTGTCCAAATTACAGATCAGTTCACTATGCAAGTTTCTCTCACCAACTTGATAAATGGCCCTGAAGCTGGCCCTTTGCAGAGAAGCATCAGACTTGAACTTGATCCAGAGACTGTTGCTGGTAGAAGTGATTGGAGACATGAGTGTACTATGACAGAATTTGCTAATAAGGGAAGACACCTCACTGTCACCATCTCGAACCTAGTCATCAAAAAGAAAAAAAGAAAAATGTCAGATCATAAAAGTGTTGGGATCTGATATCTGGATAAAATTATAATCTCACAAGGGCTGCTAAATAACAAAAGGACTAACTATTTTACTTATTTATAAGAGGGGCAAAGAGCCACCACAGCAATTGGTACAAACACATGATTTACAAGAGCCCAGTGGAAGGATCAGATGATCAGCACAGAAGACACACACACACACACACACATAACTGTCACAGGACATTAGGATGAAACAGATTGTCTCTACGAACCACAACTTTAGTACAATTTGGGCCTATGCTTCCAAAAGTGATGCCTTTAGGATGAAAGAGACAGATCAGGTGCTCACCATGATAGCTATGAAATTTTTGTCAGCACTAAAATCTGCTGGGGAAAAAAAGGGATATTTGTGATTTTCTTGCTCTGGAGATGAAACTTCTAGTGATTTTTTGATGGCACTTCTCCAGAACAAGCACATGTCCCATCACACCCATACATCAGTGTAGCCAGACAGCTCACTAACACGAGATGCAACTCTGAGCCCCTAAAACTGACATCTTACACTACTTTATCTGAAGGGTCCAATGCATGATAATGACAATGAAGCTGTATCAGGGAATCACTTCCAGCTTTTACCTTCTGCACTCTATTGACCTCAATCAATTTGCTAATCACAGGAGAAATGTATCTTACGTGTTTTCCCAGAAGTTGATTATAAATCCCAATCATCAAGGGGACTAGAAGGGAAAGAGGTATTTGCACCTCCGAACTTCAGGCCCTGAGCACACAATCCATGAGTAAGAATAGGTGCATCCAGGCAGAGCACTGGTATATTCAAGAAGTTCTGAACACCCTCTGACGTGCCCATCTCATTCCAAGAGGGCAGCCAACAAGCTGAAGTCCAAAAAACACGTACCTTGCTATTTGGTCAGACAAAAAATGCAATTTTTCTCCCAAAGATTCTCCTGTAAACAAAACAGCTCTTTTCTGCTGTAAAAGTAGTGGTAGCTCATGTAGCTGGAGCTGCTTTTAAATTCACCTATATACTGTCAAACCCCAAAAATCATTCCAGTGAAATCATTGGCAAAGCCAGGGACATTCAGCTTTCAGGTCCCCTCTCACCACCTCTTCTTTCTTCCTCAGCTGTATTCTTCCATGGGCTGGGAGAGAAGGCAGGGAACCCTTGTCGCTGCCCTGGTGAGCAGGCAGTGGCTGGCCTGCTTGCCCAGCTTTGGCAATCTCCAGCTGGTGAGATGGCTTTCTGACTAACAGACATTTTTCATTTCCCTGGAACTTGAGTTTAAGGTGATAGAATTATTCTGGATTTACAGCGGAGCAAGTGAGATCAGAATTTGTGCCAGAATTTTTAGAAAATCTTTGGACAGCAATGCAAGTTTCCAGAACTGTAATTCACGAGAGTTTACTTTTTTCTTGAGCTGATTTTCCTTACATTTTTGGTTTATAAAGCCCAGTGAGTAGTGATAAAAAACCCCAGGTTGTCTAAACCATGTGAGTAATGTCTCCTATTGCCCGTTAGAAGGACGGCAAGGAGAAGGAGCGGCTGTGGCTAACACCTCACCTCTGCAGCACCATGTCACAGTCTTTCTTAAATAAGAAGTTTTATTGTCTCTAGTTTCTTATTGCAGACCCCTGTCCCAAGCTGTTCCTTCCTTAGTAAGAGACTAAACATCCCTCCCTGAGCAAGTGCCTGTAAGCTGTGTCTGGTCCCTGTGGAAACTCTGCAGGTTTCCTGGTATCACCAGAGATGGGAACAATCTGCACCTTTTCAAAATGACAAAGGAATTGTCAGAGAGCAACTTTTAAAGTAACTTAAACACCCAAAAGCTCTCTCCCTAGCTGAACTTCATTATGAAACCCAGTGAGATAGTATTTTAGAAAAACATGCATGGAAAATCAGGCCTTGATAAAAGAGCATGGTGCTTTAGTTGTACTGACTGTCCTGGTCAGAAAATGTCAGTCCTGTTTCTCTGCTCTGGCTGAGCCACCAAGTGAGGGGGAAGGACGAAGAGGAGGACAGAAACAGAGGGAAACTGAACGGCAAACAGCGAGGTAAATGCCTTGCTGAATTAATACAAACTGATTGCCTTCAACAGAAATGGGTTTGTTTCTCTGGCTGCTGTGAATTTAGTTGCTGTTCTGCCAGCAATTAGGCAAGAGGAGTACCAGGCCAAACAAACAAAAGCTGTCTGTTTTCATTAAACACACTTCCCCTCTCATTTCAGAAATTAATTACACTTCATTCCAACCAAAGTCTCTGTATTAGAGGAGGAGGGATGTCGGCACAATAACATCTTTTAAAAACAGATTAACTGCATGGAGCTCACAGGGGTCTATTCCTCGCTTGGTCAAAAAAGAGATTAAGCACAAACTCCAACCCACGCTGCCATGTAACCCTGTAGCCACAGGCAGGACCCTGCTCTACACTGGGGCCGCAGGGCTTGCACCTACCTTCTTCAGCTGCGGCGAGACCGTCGCTAATCGACTGGGTGTCTGCGCCCTGTTTGCTTTACTTCTGTTTACTTCGGTGTGGTACAGCCACAGGTTTATACACAGCAGTACCCAGCTCTCATTCCACGTAGGATGAGGTATTTATGACTGTAACATGATGACACAGTGTGGAGAAATACAGGCTGGGTACGACAGCAGACGCCTTGAGACGTGGCAAGCCGGGGTGTGGCACAGAAAGGCACAGGGATGGGGTGACAGGAGAAGGGGCACAGGCCACCGCCATAGAGAGCTTGTCAGGCCCTCAGGGCACCCTGGGACTCACACCCTGCCCATGGCCCCAAGTCAGCCCCCCAGGGCCATCAGTCCCTGCCCCAACGACACTGCAGCTCGGTCATGGGCTCTGCTGCGCCAGGCCCACCCGCAGGGCCGTGTCCAGGCTGACCTCGGCCCAGCCCTGTCCCCAGGGAGGTGTGCAATGCCGGGAGCTGCCTCGCTCCCTGGCCAGGGCAGCGGGACGAGCCCTGGCTGTGAGGCCCTGCTCTGCCCCTCTGGGGAGATCCCCGGCCTGCACAGCACCTTGGCAAACCTCACCCGCAGCCAATCAAAGAAATGCAGACTTGGAGCTCTACAAAACAGGGTTTAGGGATAACAAACAAAATGATGAAATGGTATCTAGTGTACTGAAATGGCATGCTGTAGCAGTAAATGCAGATGTAAAGTGAAGCTGCAGACCAGTGAAGAGAGAGCTAGGTGTAAAAGCAAACATAAAAATTACCTCAAGTGGATCTCAGTTAGTATCGACTTCACTATTGTATTATTATTACATTTTCCATATAGAAACATTCTAACTCTACTATTATTTTTGTCTATAATAATTAGATTTAGACTAATAACAATTCTTGAAATAAACTTGTAAGATTTCAGTTATGATAGCAATAAACTCCTGGCTTTACATATGTATATATGTACATATGCATGTATACATAAATATACATATGGTATGATGTATATATAAATATATATATGGTGTGCCTCCTTTTTGTGCCAGAATAAGATTTTCCATATAACACTATGACTCCAGAAAACGCATAGTGGCTATGTCATTATTTCTATTTTTCTTGCATTTGGCATGCATTTACCAAAGGTCCAAACTCCACCTTAATCATGTACAGCCGATTAAGAATTAGTGTTAAGCTAGACAGATTTTCTTGTTCTCTTATCTTTGCTTCATTCCAAATGTACAGTCCTGCTCCTTTAGCCTCTGTGACTTTTGGACCCTAATAAATTTGTATACTTAGTCCTTTGATTAACACCTATTTCTGCAGTGGCCCCTGGGACAGAAATTATGCGGCATGGTTTTGTACACACATGTAATCAACATTTCGTATCAACTGATTAAGAGAAGTCACCTCAATATAATTCGATGAACAACCAGTGTGATTCTCCAGCTCCATATGGGTGAAGTTGAGGTATATTTTTTCATACTCTGGCTGTCTGATAATGTAGATACATTGTCGGTTGTTGATATAAGGGTTTGGCCAGAAAGGGGACGTGATAACCCCTTCACTATCCGTATAATTTCCTCCACAACTTGGATCTGCTATATTTAGGAAAAAAACATATCAATTGAGATATTCACAAGTATGGTAACTCTTTCAGTTTAGGCTGCCTCTGTACAATGGCTTCGAATCAAAGAAGATTTCTGTATTATTAAATAGCAAGTGTGAATTACATCCACTCACGTGTTGTTGGCTATACCTTGGGAATATCACAGACGAACCTTTAATGCTGAATTTTACTTACCAGGAGATGTTGTATAGACAATGTGGAAGCCCTTATCAGTAACTAAGTCATCAGAGTGAAAGTGAATCCATGCATACGGACCAGTGGTTTGGAGTGGGGGTGGAGATCCAGTGCTACAATATTTACCAAGGAGAGGGTCTTGTGGAAGAAGACCATCTCGAATCTAGACAGAATGATAGATCAGCATTTAGGATCGTTAGATGTGTGCCAGTACCAACGCTCTTAAAGTTATATCTGGGATCCCAGGAGATATTGTAGTTGGTGAGTGGAAGGAAAGCTCATAGAAAGTTTCCTCCAAACACGTAGGAACCAAGAAACAGACCCATCAGCATAGCTGTGATGGTGCTCCTAGGAGACTCAGCAAGGGTTTTGTGAAAGGGAAAGAAAGTATCAGGAGATCTACTGTTGATCTGTTTTCCTGAAATCATGCTCTGCATTGGACAATTTTGAAGAACATTCTATTCCAAACCAGCTTCTCATTTCCATGACTGGGTATTGGTGAATTCTGTAACCATTACTTTGCACTTGAGGAAAAGCCCTAAGCTCACACATCAAGTCATGGACAGTACAATAATATGAATCTATTAATTTCAGATTCTTTTCCCTAATAGTTTACCTTGGGCTGATTAATTCTTTGAGGGTTGACATTTAACAAGGAGTTTGGAGACTTAACTTTGTAAGGAAGTGAAAGCTTCCCACCTGAATCTCACTTCCTTTAGTCACAAGACACCCACTGATTTCAGTGGAGCAGGATCTCATCCCCTTTCTGTTATACTGCCTGTATCTGACTGTGCATTGATGGCGGGAATAAGTAAGTACAAATGAATATTTCAACCCAGGCTTTAATTTTTCAAACAGTCCCTTTTTGTACATACAAAAAGTTTTGAAATATCTTGTTTTGCAATAACATAGCCATAAAATGTTGTCATACTCCACAATTAAACTTTACCTCTAAATGGTCATAACTGCAGTTTTCATGGTGTTCTAGGCTTAGTGTGCCAAAAGCAAATGTGATGAGATGGCCAGGACTGGTTGAGATGGTCCAGAAACAGTCTCTGTTTACAGGATAGTTACCAGGGTATCCTGGAGAGCTTATCGAGCCGTAAGTACCCATCAGCTCACCACCACATTCTAACAGAAAAGAAACATGGAAGAACACAGTCTTTAACACCACACATCAGGTCAGAAGATGAATTCTCCTGTAGTGTCAAAACTAAGTACCACTTTGGAATCCAGAATAAATTCAAAAACAAAGGTCAAGCCAAATTCAATTACAAAAACAGAACTCCAAATATTTCCCAATTTGCACAGTGAAAGAAAGATTCTTTCCAAGTTATGATGGAAATATCTTTAGGAGAATGACCAAACACACTGTGTTTTGGATTGGATTTACAAAATTAATCTGAATTTCTGTACTTTGGAAATAGTCTCCCGTGTTTTATCCTAGAAGAGCACTGTTAATTTTTTTTTAAAAACCGAAACAGTCAATTACAGAGAAGGCTGATTTATATACCTGTAATAAAAAACACATCCCTTTCAGCATAACACTTGGGAATGTTAGGGGTAACTTGTGTATAATACCTAAGGAATAGCTAGTTTAGTCACATCTATACCTCTCTCCCTCTTTTTTTTTTCTTTTACCCAAAAGATCTGTTTTCATTTTTCAGTATCCATATTTGTCAGTTAGTAATTATCGATCTAATAATGTCAAATGAAAGAAAAAAACCCACCAAAAAAATCACATGAAAAAGCCTTTAAATAAATATTTCTGGAAACCATTTTCTCCCTGAGTTTTCTATACTTTTTCTACTCTATGGTTCTTTCAAGACACAACCCAATGCATAATTTTGTTTCTAGACAATACACAGAACACTGAAGTGAGCTTGATGTTGCACAAGATTATTTGGAGTTTATGTGTAGAAATGCACTGCTAGGCCTTCTGGAAGAATCACACAAGTGGCATTTCCAAGAATTCAGGCAGAAATGTACAGCAAATCATACCAAAAAGCTCACAGATAATTTAAAATCAAATGCCCAACAATCTACCATGTTTGGAAAGCATGGTTCAACCTCTTTAGCTTTTTGTAAATTGTCAGTGGCAAAAAAAGTTAACTTGCTTGCTCAAAGTACTAGATATTTCCGTGAGAAGAGAGAACTAATCAGAAGAACAGCATCTCCAGGAACACATGCTCTTTGGGAGATTCCTCACAGGATGTATAAAGCAGCCTTAAAAACCAGTAGAAGGATATTCATGCAGAGGCATAGAGTTGGAGTTTAAATATTTTAAAAATACATATGTCTACATTTCACACTCCCTAGTATGATATTGTCCTACTATTCCTAATGTTTCCTAATCAAAGGAAATATCATTCATTTTGCTCCAAAGCCATGAAGATGATAAATTACATGACATTTCATCAAACTTACCGGGATCCTTGGATTCCCACTGAACAGTAAAACCTCCAGCTGTAATGGCGTGGTTTGAGTAGAACCAAAAATACAAGGAGTTGTGGGAACTGAAAAGCTCTGCAGGAGGTGAGGAGCCACAGTATTTTCCCAGCATATGCGTTGACGCTGAAGGCCCATCATGGATTTGAAGGAAGTCAGAGCTACAGTCATTACTTGTCTCCAGTTGGAAGAATGGGAAAATAATATGCAGGATCTAACAGGAAGTAGCAAAACAAGAAATCTTTTTTTTCCCATCTGCTGAGACACTGTTTATGCAGTAACTCTGCATAGAGCAGATGTATTTGTTCATGCAACTGTGAGAATCTACAAGCTTTGGAGCCATTATACCACTTTCTGAAAAGTTCCAGGACAAAAGAAGATACTACAGAATCTTAAGGGTCAAAGGAAAAGAGAGAAGCGAGGAAAGAATTTGGGCAGTGAAGTTGTCTGCAAAGAGCATTATTTCAATAAACTAATAGTTGAGACCATTTGCCTGCATCTGTTATACATGTGAAATATATATCTCAAGCCATGTGAAAGGCTTGAAATACAGCATAAAATACTTTATTCCAGGTTTTCCATGGCAGTTTGCTCATCAGATAATTAACATTTCTCATCCTTGCTATGGCTGAAAGTATTGTCATGGGAGTTAAAAAAATGAAATTATCTTTTTTTTGCATTATCTCCTAAGCCCACTCTAGATACTTAGTGATATACACAGCTTTATGTATGTTCAGATTCCTCACTGATGTGCTTTAATATAGCTTTGCTGAAGACAGTAGTGCATCTCAGGCTTAAAACTGAGGATATGTCATATACATATATATAATGCTGTATAAACCACTAGCAACCACTGGTTTATAAAACTATTTAATTCATTCCATGAAATGTCAAAAATAGCTCAAATATCTATATCCCAAGTAAGAAGTCCCATGCTAAAGTGGAAGTAACATATTTTGTAGTAGTTATTTATAGCACAGGTGGAATTGTGAGTTGCAGATCAGAATATATATTTGAGTGCAACATTTAAAAATTAATCCTTAAAAAATTCAAACGCTGTTATTACACAAAGCCATTGACAATATGAATTCAGCATTCCACATTTCTGGCGCTCAGAAATCAGAAACATGAAATTGTTCTGGGGTCACTTAGGTCATGAACCAACTGTGGAGCCCATCAGAGCAGAGCGTTTCTCATGCAGCTATTCACAGATCACATTCTAAAGCAATGTAAACCAGACACCTTCTCTAGGTGGTGGTAGGTGAATAAATTCTAACCCTCAGCTGCGTAGGGAAAACCTTGAAAATGTAACCCAGGCAAATTCTTAGGTCAAGGAGCCTGAAGGCTTGTAAGGATCTGAAACTTACTCTTTTTGAAAAACTATTTATTCTGAGGGGGTCGGATCACAATATTGGAATATGTGGTATGAAGATGGTCATGTTTGCTCTGATGGGCTGAGGGCTCCTGCAGCATGAGGGTTTCTTTAACCTTAATTTTACTTTACCTTGTTGGGATTAGTTTGAATAACCCAAGCGCAGCTGACCCCACTGTTGTATTGCTGGCTGTTTGGGTTGTTAGGGTAACTGAAAGTCCCCCTGGAGCCTGAGAGATATCCTCCACAAACTGCAGAAAGAAAAGAAGAGAGAAAATTAAATGGATTAATTTGTGCTAACACTATACAGACTTAAACAAAACTTAACTTTCTAACATAGCTTTGGCTTCCTAAATATTTAAAACAAGGGTGAAAGATACTTTGCTCTTCAGGATTTCATCTATCTTGGAATAACATCATAAAAAATGACCAAAATTACGCCCTGGGAAAAGAATAAAGATTTTCAGCTGGAATATGTGGATACTGCCAATAGATGTTGATTCTGTCTCAGGAAAATGTCCATAAACTAGTTTATTTCCCGAAGGCTAGCTCCACATTGAATCTTTACATTTTTTACCTACAATGAAATAATGTTTTGAAGCTAACATGATATAAAATTGTCTTTCTCAGTAGTGATGTATCACAGAAGTTATCCTCTGGAAGTTTTATTGTCCCATTTATTCTTTTTGGTCAGATCTCTGGGCCCGATAAGACCTCTCATGATATACCATGGTCTCTTCTCTCACTGAGCCATTCAATGAATGTGAGCTGTGAAGTGGGAATCCCCGACAGCTACAGAAAAATATGTCCATAAAGCACCCAAAATACAATACACATATAGCTACAGTGTAAAACAGGCAGCTGTTTAGTTTACCATTGAATTGATGCTAAAGAAATATTCAATTCTTAACAAACTAAAATGAAGTATTTGTTTCAAGGAATGGCAAAAAAAAATAAATTGTTTGAAGTGTTCATCTAAAACATCTCACCGTATCTCAACCAGATTCAAAATTATCATGTCATAAAATGTATTATTTTTCCCTTCATTAGGAGCTAAACCAAAAGTTGATACATTATAATTTCTCACTAGATAAAAACTGTTTTTCTATCCTTTCTATTAAAAATGGTTAAAAAAATTTTTTTCCACATGTGCTTAATAATAAAACATTACTGATTAGATATTGAAGGAAAATAGGAAAGAGCCTGATGTAGCTGTAAAATAGAGCAGATTTCACAGTGGCTCAGTGAAAGTTTTACCTTCTGTATTCTGTGAAAAGTTAATCTGCTTTCTTCACAGCAACCTGCAATAAATATGAGCCATCTGACAGATGGTTGCGACAGGGACGCTCAGTGGAATGTCATCCTGACCTTGTTTAATTAAAATTAATGGCAAAAACCCCCCAAACAAACAGAAAAAGTGGTATTAAGAAGAAATGTTAAAGGGAGGACCTTGCAGTTACTCTATAAAACTCAGAGTTCCCCATTTTCACGGATAACATTTCTTTCGTTAAATTTCTATTTGAAAATCTTTTCTGGCTTTTTGTCTTGACTAAAAATGTCAGGACCTCTCAGCTGCTCAACAAATGAAATAGCATGCACAAAAGAGAAACATTAATATATTCTCTTGTAAATCTGTTCCCCTTACACTGGATCATCTTTCCCAACCAGCTGAACAGGCCAGTTCTCAGGAAGAGAGATCAGATTTTAGAATGTCTGGCATCTAGTGAAGGCCAGTGTGCCTGCAGATCAACTTCATTGTTACGCTCCTATTGCTAAACAAAGCAGCTATAAACAAAGCTCAGGGAAAACTCTGACTCCATGGCACTTTGGGTCAAGACCTGTAATCCACCAAGAAGGTGTGGGTTTTTTTCCATCACAGCTTGGTTCTTATTCCCATATTAATCACGTACACCAAATATCTACTCGCTGAAGCCTGGTGGCCCATTTCTTCTGGGGAGGAGGTCCCAGCCATACCTTGCTGGGCAGTCTGACACTGTGGTCCTGTCCAGGCGCTGGTGCACTCGCAGGAGTAGCCGTTGACCCCATCGGTGCAGCTTCCCCCGTTCTGGCATGGGTTGCTAATGCATTCGTCAATGTTCTCAGTACAATTAGGGCCTGTCCAGCCCGCATTACACAGGCAGAAGTATCCAGAGATCATTGCCTACAAGTATAAGCAAATGCAATAAACTTAATGAGCATGGATCACCTAAAGGAATCAATGCAGTTGGCAGAAAGACTGATATTTACACTTATTTTATGGAGAGATATCAGAGCAAAGAAATAAAACCTTTGGAATTTAATGGCCTTGATGGTCACTGATGAATGCCAAAATAAATCCAAAGCCTAATCAGATTATCTAGCTCTCTGCTTTTTCTATTAAGTTCTTCCTTTGCAAGGCTTTTTCAAATTACTTTCTAAAAAGTCAAAATCTGTATTCATTTAGCCATTCCGGAAACTGCTTGGCTTTGAAATGATCACCCTAGAAACAAGTCAATCATATTATCTACATCTTATAAATAGCAAGTCAAGATAACAGTGGTTTATAAATCATTTCTCTCGGGCGTGTTCTCTGGGAAGTCTGTGCTGCAGTTACGTGGGCTGTTAACTGTCATTTTCACCCTGGGGGATGTTAAACGGGAACAATTTCATTGCTTTCTCGGCATTATTCCTTATTCTGTATGTCGCTCTTCCATTTCTTTTGTCTCAGCCTTTACTACTTCTTATAATCAAGTCTGTCTATATCTCTAACTGTTTTAGTTTCATATGTCCTCTTTCCTTATCTTTCTTGTTTTATAGACACACTTTTTAAAGGTAAAGCAGAACATGGTATTCCAAGGTACATCTAACGATCCCATCTTTGATGACATACAATCAATGTGCTATATTCTCTATTTCCTTTTGCACTCTCTGTTCATGTCCTCTGTGTCCTGAACAGAGATTTTCAGTAGGAGGGAAGAGGATTTTGATGTGTATTTAGGGCTCCAAATGCTGCTTTAGAAGGTGAAAAGGTGTTTTCTGGTCTGCATTGCCTCATATTTAATTAACATTACATTTCATCTGTCATTACACTGACCAAATATAGCTCTGCTGTTCCCCTATTTTATTAGATGCTTCTGTAGTGCCATTACTGAAGTACCTGACTGTTAACTTTAAGTGGTAGTTTGTAGCCATGATTGCCTGCAGTTGTATGTTAGGATATATTTAGAGGAAAACGTCATATGTTTTAATAGACTGACTAAAATAAACAGTTTCTAAATAGTCAGAAAAAGTAGATTAAATCTGGGCACAAAAGGCCCTTTAAATATCTGAGTGAAAAGACAATAGGTACCTACAGAGGAGAGAGCGAGGAAAGCTGTTAAGGGGTTGAGTGGAGGTGAAGGGATCATCTCTTTTCACATAGAAAATGGGAAAAGGCAAAAGTAACATATCATAGAATCATAGAAACATTTAGGTTGGAAAAGACCCTTAAGATCATCGAATCCAACTGTTAACACTACCAAGTCCATATCATATGTCCCATTTTCCCCCCTGCCTCCCAGGATTATCAAAAGGAGGATATTCACAAACCAATGGGGACAAATGGGATCAGACTCTACCGGAACAACAAATTTACCATTTGTGAACATTTCTCCAAAACCATAATCATAAATATCCTCCACAACAGACTTCTCAAAATCCCCAGGTCTGCAGCGTGGACTTTCCTGAGCACAGCACGCCTCACTGAGAAAGCCAAAGGCCATCACAGGGTCCATCTGGATGAACTAAATGGTCTCTGTGCATGACAATGAATTCACACCACCAATCAGTAAAGGTCCAAACCACTCAGCTACCAGCAGGAGTACAAACAGTTCCCATGAAGCACCCTTTCCATATCCATATAAAAAGTCTGAGGGTCCAGGGGGGCTCTTACAAGATCAGCCTAGGAACACACCACTAACTTTACTGGATTTTAACAGTCTGAAGGTCAGCAGAGGTACTGGTTTTGTTATCACAGGTAATTCCTCCATAATCCAAGGCTGTAAATTACTTCCTTGGCCCACCAGGAACAGCCATTCATCAGTTCTCCCCATCGCTGGCCTGGCGTACCAGCTGCCTCTCCTCTCAGGCAGCCCGGTTATTAGTGCCAAGATTGCTGCCTCTGCTACAGACACAAAGGAATGGCTGAGTGCCCTGAAACTCACTTTGTTTTCCCCAGGTATACCCGTTGATCTCCCACTCCCCACTGCCCTTGCCTCACTACATTTAGTATGTCTGCACTCAGCTCTCAGTCTCACCACACTCCCTGTTGTTTCTGGTTACAACTACATAACGCTGTCACCAACTGTGAGGAGTCCAGCACTTACCAAGCACTGCCCATTTGCACAAGGGTTTTGCTGCTGACAGATGTCACTGAGAGGAGAACACCCGTTCGGCCCATATCCACTTCCAGTGTATCCAGATGTGCAGGAACAAAATGGCATTGGCCCTTGGGAGATGGGACAAGAAAGTAATTTGGTCCTTGTTACAATGACAATACCAACCATGACAGTAAAGGTCTTTGACATTTTGAATCAAAGTCTTTGTATAATTCTAACTTATTTGATGTTTTGATACCTTTCCTGGTCAGTGTTCAGTTTGACCATGGAAAGGTCTCTAGCGTTGCTTTTCTATGGGTACCTGAGAGTCCAAGGTCACCTCTGTGGGAAGTGGTGGGAGTAGTCAGAGGGTATTAATGGAAAAGAGAAGAATAGTAAAAGCAGCTGAAATTGGAAAACTACATCAAAGAGAAATGGTGAAGATATCCACATTTTTATGAGTAAATCTGCTCTTTGGTGGAGCCTAAATCTATTTCTGTCAATGTTTGTGGAAAGACCTGCTGGCTTTAGCTAACCCGCCTGTAAACTCCTTTCAGTGATGCAAAACTGACTGTGGAGAAGGGGCTGCAATCTAAATACATTGCTACAAAGTGGGTTCAGCCTAACCAAAACCTCCCTGAGATTCACACTGAAAATAATTACAGTTCATAAGACAGCACCATACCTGGAGCTGAAGTACAAGTAGCCAAAGGATGGCACCCTCCATTATTTATTGAGCAGATATCAACCTGGGTACATGTTTTTCCATCTCCCTCATAACCTGTTCAGAGGTAAATCTCAGTTAGTCTGTAACAAACTATGTTCTCTGAAAACTGACAGCAAAAAAAATCATCTGATGAGAAAAAAACCAAACCCCCTAATTTATGGTATAAAAACATAGCCATCTGCAGTTAAAAAGACAAAGTTGAGATCACCACTGGAATAAGACCTGGCATATTTATTGTGGTTCCTACACTGGATGGATTCCAGTCTTAACTAAATCCTCCCATGATTTCAGAAAAAAATATTACCCAAATATTACCCAGGTGAGGTCAGAGTGAGGCCAATGAGCCACCATGTGCTTCCCTCCCTACACATCTGCTCCCAGCCAGCCCCAACCATCTCTGGGCTTCCCGCTGCATGCCAGAGCTGCCCTTGGGTCTCAAACACAACGTGGAGCTCCTCTCGGGAGGCTCAGCAGGACCACAGTGCTGCAGCATGACTTTGCACAGCCAGAGCACATTGAAACTTGTCTGAGGCCACGTTTCCAGTGTGGTAATAGCCCTTCAGCGCTCAGTAGCTGAGAGCCTTCACTACCTGCGGTCTATTGCCATTTAAATAGCCATTGAAAGGCCAATTAGAAACACTTTTTACTGCTAGTATTTCTAGTATTGGTAGCATACATTTCATAAAGCATTTGAAATCATAAACCACAAATCATATAGACACAAGTCACCGCTTCCACTGCTTGACCTGTACTGCAATGGAAACACTGCCGCCTTAGACAGCATTCAGAGCGTGACAAACAATTATCTAGGCTTTTTTAAGACAAACAATACAGCTGATTTATGGCACACAGGATAATCTTTCAATTAATACAGACAATGAAATTACTATCATAATTACGCAATCCTTGTTTCCCATTAATGATCTTATAAAAGAAGTACTTCATCAAATCAAGGCTCTAACACTGAAAAGGGCTACCTAGTACAAGAGAAACACATTTCAGAGGATCATCATTAGAGACATACTCTACAAAATGTTCATTAATAGCTGAAGCAGTTTGAATATACTTGGACTCTGCATTCTATATTACAGCATTGCTTTGTGTATGTGGTACTGATATATATAAAACCAATCTTCAGCTTCTTAAGTCGACCATAAAACAGGCTCAGATGTGCTGAATCTTCATCTTTTAAGCCTTTCTATAGTTTTATTAACAAAAAAAATCCATTTTACCTGGTGGACAGAGCCCACAGTGGAAGGATCCCATTGTGTTGATACATTGAACCATTGGCGCTGTTGAGCAGCCTCCATTATTACTTTCACATTCATCAATGTCTTGACAACTGTAGCCATTTCCTTGCCAGCCTAAAAAGAAACACAGGAGATACTTTAAAACAGAAAATACCTGGCCTTTTCAATTTCTTCTTTGACCAGATCTTTTCATAGAGCAGAAGAATATGACTCTTGGATTTCATTTCACTAACACAAGAGAAGACCTGTCCCTCTCATAACTGATGAAAATTAATACTGGCCTGCAAAACAGGTTACAAACACAACAGGGTGGAGATGTGTGTGCAAGAATGTTTTATTTTAACTGTACTCTGGATATTCCAGAATCAAACACACTTTAAAGAGGAGGCAGTCTGGTGCACAGATGTACAATTTGCAGCAAAGCTTTATCACATCTCTGGTTAAATACTTCAAATACTCCTCCTATACACACTACCTACCCAAGTCAGGAAGAGGAATCATAGGTTATATGGCTTGAGGGGACAATTAGATTTTGATATTGCCTCAGGGCAGCGAGCATATGGACATGAAGGTGCCTCGGATCTATGACATGAAGGTAATAGGACATGATGGACATGAAGGTACCTATGGACAGGAAGGTACATCAGATCTCACTTTAGGACAGGATAAATCATGTGTTAGACTCCGCTGCCTATGTTACCTAGATAAGACAACCTGCAGGCATTTATTCTCTAGACTACAGAAAAAAGCATTTCATGGCATCACTCTCATCTGGATCCTGTGCCTGTGCTTATGACATACTGTCAGTACAGGCAGTACTACCCACTGCCACCCAGTCTCACGTGAGAGCACGGAAAGACGTGATACCTGTGGGGCAGGGACCACACGAGTAGGAGCCTGGTGTGTTGTAGCACTGCACAAGTGGATTCTGTGAGCACGGACGATTAGGGAGGCTGCATTCATCTATATCAGCACTGCAGGCAGGGCTGCCGGGAGGGGACATCCAGCCAGTGTCACAAATACAGTGGTACTTGGGCTGCCACAGCAAACATCACATTACATATTTAAAACAGTTAGAACAGTCAAGAAAAGGGCAGGAGGAGTTCATTTTATGAAATGTCTTTTAAACTATCGCAAGAAAGCTTTCAGAGCATTACATGGTTTGCACATTCTGTTTTATAAAGTGCTTCGGTAGTTTTCTCTATTTCTTCCTCTGAATTTACCTATTTAGATTATGGAAGCAACAACAGGCTCATTATGTTCATAAAAGAAACCTGTAATTTACCCCAAAGCTCCCAGAGAAAATGAACAGCAATTATGAGCTGTATGTAAACATAATTAAAAGTCATCATCTTGCTTTGTAACCAGTGTAAACAGATCAGTGTAAGCAACCTGTAATCAGCTTGGCTGTTTTCTTTTAAGCAAACTGTTCAGTAATCTGTGCAATGTGCAGCACTGACATTACATTGCAAATATACATTTTCTTTGAGGAAAACAGTTTTGTCTCTTGTACAATTTACTAATGGCCAGATTTCAGCATTTATCTAGCTTTGGTCCAATTAAAGCTAATGGGAGCTTTATTGTTGACTGTCACAGGAGCAGACACTGTTAAGCCAACACTGAACCCTTTTGAAAAGCTTTCTCCACAAAAAAATGGGCAGAAAGCAAGTGATGAGTTGTGAAAACTTTTACAAATTGAGCAAAGAAATTATTTTATTGCATAGCACAAAGAATATGTGGTGTGTCTGGAATGGTGCATGGGTGTATAGGATTGTTAAGGAGCACAGGCTTGGCAGGGTAGTTTTGGAGGGCTGCTCTGAATGGAAAGAGTCAAAGCTGGCATGCTCCACATGTCCCTTTGGAGTGAACACCGTGTACCCAGATTTTCTCCCCAAAAGAATGAGCTGGCTTGCTCCACAAGACCGATCAAGTGTATGCTAGCATCTGCCCAGTGCAGACGCTTGGGTAGCGTCTGGAGTCAAAGGCCGAGTCCAAGTGACAGTGAGGAGCACCGAAGATAAGCAGCAGCCTCCCCAGCTGCTATGCAGCCCTGGCACCTCCCAGGCCACACCAGTGCTCCACAGGTATGCCTTTTCCCAGGAAAAACAAGATTTGTGACATTTGTCCTTCTTAATCATTTAAGTAATAAAATATTATAGCAACTTAGAACTCCCCAAATAATGAACAGTAAGAATATTATGCCTCAAATAAGACTTTGACTTATTCAAAGAATATTCCCAAGCTCCCTATGAATGTAGCAGTAGATCTGATACTGTGACACGTACCTCTAACAAGACACAAGGCATTTTCAATTCTTTCTGCTGTCCTTGGGACAACAGAGAGGTTAGGTTATGTTGTACAGTGGCATTTCTTTCTGTTTTTCAGCAGCAGCGTGTGCTACACAGTTTTGTGGTGCTCAGCATTATTTGTTGCTTATTCATGCTGTGTTGTGTAATGAGACTTATACATTGCTCCTTACCTTGTTGGGCTGATCTCTGTCTGCGTCTACGCAGATGCCATGCCCACAGAGTGTCTCAGATCCTCCCTGGCAGTCGTCAAACTTCAAGGCACAGTGAGGTCCATAAGTTTCTGGAGTACAGGAGCAGCTAATGGTGAAAGCAGACAGAAAAATCAAAATGTTGTCTTTATAGAGCACTTAGAGATCATATATTGCCATAGTAGGAGATCATTCCTCACTCTTTCAATTATGTGGTGTTGCTTATGAAATCTGTCTATTTGGCTATATTGACAATCCTATTAATAATCATGCACAGACACAACGCTCCTGTTCAGCAGAGACTCAAAAATCACACGGGACTTGTGTATATCCATGACTGCCTCACCCTATGGGAGAATCCACAGCCTTCTCTTACATTCGTAAGTGCAATTCCAGAAGAAAAGAAACATCTAACATGAGACTTCATCAGAGTATGAGCTTGGAAATCCCCGCTTTGGTCAGAGAGCACCTAAACATTGCGTTCCAGTTTATGACCTTCATATGATACCAAGTGCCTAAACCCTTATCTCTAGCAATACACAAAAATGCCAGGTTTGGCCTGTCCTGGGGAGCAGGGTACCTTCACACCCACACCTCAAGACCAGCCCAGCTTTCAGATGAGCATGATGGGCAGGAGGAGGCATTTGGGGCTGATGGGGTGGGAAGAACAAAGTACTGGGCTGAAGGGAAGCATTCTACTGGGGGCATCTGGTTTGCAGGCTGCCAGCTGCATCGCCTTGTTATATATAGGGCACACCTTAGTCACAGCACTGTAAATATGTAGTGGAACTGAAATTGGGAACTTCTAAGCCATCAGGTAACCTTTCCCTTTCCTCTGACCCTTTATTTCCACGTGGACCAAATCTGAGGCTCTGAAATACAACTGAAGGGGACTTAAACCTACAGAAAGCCTCCTATCAGTTCACTAGCTTTTTATTAAAATGACAGCGAGACACTTGTTTGGATGCAAGTTATATGTTGCGATGTCTGCTGATGCCTGCTCCTCACAGACATATGGCAGGTACACACCCCTGTTGAATCGCTTTTAAGCTGGCTAATGAAAACTACGCTGTAAAAGCATTTATCTGCAGGATTTGAATCAGGGTTTTCCAGTGCAGCTGATCTGGACCTTGGAGCAATTTATTAATAAGCTGCCACTGTCCCTGCCAGGGTGTCACATGCTCAGTTGAAATAGCAGTTTGATAAGCAATTGCAGGTAACTAAACGGTGCACCCAGGACAAGCAACCTGGGTGAACTTAGGCTTAAAAAACCCCCACAATAGCTTAATGCTTAACTGCAGTCTGCAGTACTGTAAGACAGCATGTTCATTATTGTAAGGGAGGGCACATAGACCAACATCATCTTGCCAGTGCAGGAGCTCAACCTGAGCAAGAACAGAGGCAACAGGTCAGGGAACCAGATCACCTTTGTATGTTCAAAGTACATTCAGGGCTTCATGCTCAACTCAAAGGACACAGCAAGGCAATCTGACCGGCTCCAAAGCAGGAGGACCACAGCATTGTCTCCTGCCTTGTCTGGCAAAGATTAATCTGATACCTATCTCAAGTTGCTCAGAGAACAGCTTCAAGAAGTAGGTCACGCTGCAAGAAGCTTCAGCCAAACTGTGATGTGCTGCTGCTCGGCACTGCCCTGGTTCTACCCCATCGCTGGCAGCATGTCGTGATGAGGCCCCTGTTATTTTGGTTCTGACACAAAAGTCTGATACACTCTCACAGCCTTTCATCCAACTAATGCAATGTCCCGTTAAGGTCCCGATTCAGGAAGGTGTTTCCTGAGTACCTGCTCTTTTTCCTCATACTTTCTTGCTTTTCTGAATTACAGCTGGAAGCACACAGGTAAAGAATCTGAACAGGGAGTGAAGACTGTGTCATGCTCCATTTCATAGTACCTGATCCGGTACCCCCCTTCACCTGCTGTTATCACTGGGGGCTATGGAAATTTAAATATCTCCATTTTCTTTACCTGCAGTCCACACCGGTGCATCTAACTACACCAGAGCAGGAGTGGGGTGATCTGGGTTGCTGGGTCCCAGAAAGACTAGCAGCAATGTTCTCACAGTTGTTGAAAAGAGCTGTGTCATGCTCTACCTGGGGATGGATTTTGCATCTGGGGAGTACTCAGAAGATAGACAGAGAGTAGGTGAAGGGAGACTGTGAAGACAGTACAATGGGGTTGGGGAAACGACTACATAATCCCTCAATAATCCTGAGGGCATAATGCAAAAGCAGTAATATTCAGATCTGGATGACTTATGAAGAGGTCTTAGTTCGTTTCAGGAAGCACTGATTCAGCAGGTGCCAAGGAGGGCAAGAATTACACTGGGTAACACACAGGAATCATGACTGTACTAACACAATGGTAACACTTGCGAGAAAGGCAAACCTTAATTTAGTCACACACCTGTACACTACATCGCTGAGCACAGTAACAAACAAGAAGTAAAGGCAGGCTGCTTTGTGTGTCATTTCCTTGACACACAAAGGAAACAATGTCTGTGTTGGGGACAGCTGCAGGCAAGCTCGAAACATCCTTTAAAATCAAAGAAAAGCTGACAAGAAGCACCACAAACCAGTCACACCTCAGCAGGCCCTGTGTTAATGCTGCAGTGTGAGGAGCGCTGCAGAGAACTTCCCTTGTGTGAGGTTCTTCCAGAACTGACAAAGCGCTGTAAGCCAGTGTTTCGCCAAGCAAATATTTGTGGGGGCTAAGATTTTCATGCTGAAGCAGGAGACAAAATGCTTTGCAGAGAGCTGTGGCATGCTCTCCAGCCTGCTTGTTCCCATTGCACAGGGAGAGCTTTGTATTATATCTGTAAGTTTTTTATTTACCAGATTATTTGACATTTTGGAAAATAAGATGCCAAATGTTCAGGCTGGCTCGCTCTGTAGACAACAGCATGTTTCCTAAGGAGCTGGGCACAGCCAGGGAAGGATATGCTGCTCCGGGGACCTCACGTCTCTGGGGACCCGCACATGGGCAGCCCAGGCACCCTCCTGGCCAGCCGGCTGCAAACAGCATTTCTGCTCCCTGTCTGCCTGGCGGCACCGTGCATTGCCTGCTCTGCTGCAGTCCCAGCAGCGCCAGTATTTCTGGAGGGTGTGAAGGCATTTCTCGAGTTATGCGGCGTGCTGGGAATGCCAGTGATCAGGGGTGCCCATGCATTCCGGAGGTTTCCAACAACTCAGAGCTTTCAATGGGCCAAAGCTCTGCTCCTGTTCACCTCCTCACTCCCTTTGGTCTCAAGGGGAAGGTGAGAACAGAGGGATGATAACGTGACTGTGCTGGGTGGGCACATTGGCGAGTGCTGGTTACAGACCAGCATGCTGCATCTCACCGTCCCTTCGGCACGCCGTGGTGCAGTAAATCTCCGTTAGAGCATCTGCACCTACAATGCAGAGCCAGATCACCCGAGCCAGTCTCTGATTTGCAGCCTCCTTCCCCAGCACGGCTGTGCGATAAATCTGTTCTTGCTGCTGCTCTTGTGTCAAAGCAGGCATGGCTTCTGAGGGCCTTCTCTGTCTGCGCTGGGCTCGGCTGTACCATGATTTTATACTCTCTCAGACTGCAAGGGATTATCGTGCATAGATACTAAACAGCCTTACTCCTAGAACTTGTGCTGCAGGTGTGATACAGGGTACAAAAATAGCAGAGTATTTCACATACATTTTACATTTGTGTCTAATTTTGAGGAGTTACCTGTAGCTGCCTGGTGTGTTCACACAAGTGGCTCCATTCTGGCAGCCTAACGCTGTTCCAGCATAAATCTGGCATTCATTAACGTCCACCGAGCACAGGAGGCCCTAAGATGAAATGGAAAACCAGTTTATTTTCCAAATAACTGAGAAATGAAGCAAACCATGGAGCCAATGTTTAATATAGTTTCCAAAGATATACAAACTATGGGCCACTATCAACACAGCGTCTCTTATGAAACATTATAACAAAACTCTTTCAGCTGTGTTTCTGTGACCCTGGTTATCAGTCAGATGAGGGATAATATATTTCAGATGTTTGTAGAAAGTGTATGGACAGCATAGTACTGTTATCCCCCCTACTTGCCAACTTGCTAGCAAAATACTCAAAAACTTTCTTTCAAACTGTTTCTATCAGGAGATGCTGTTTTATTAAGACTGAAAGCACAGCAGTTTTGACTCAAATCTTTCTGGGACAACCTTCAGGTTGAGAGCCTTGGAGAAGAATATATAACATTTCCATCTCTAGCGCGTGTAACAGCACCATTAAATCCTTTGCCAGTAAAGTCTTTGGATTTCAAAAAACTCAGAATGGGATTGATTACTTACACCCCCATTTGTTTTATTTGTTTGAGCTTGAACAAACATCCTTCCCCCATTCTCTCTCTGTCCTCGTGTAAGACCAACAGCAAGGCATGCAGTTCAGCTTGCTCTGCTCACCAAAAACCCAAAGACAAATTCTCTGCTGTGGGAACTGCCAAGCATCGCTGAATTCATGGGCCATCGCCCGCGTGTAACAGTGCAGGGTCTGGCTCAGTGGTTTGGGCTTCACTATTTTTTTGGTGTATATTGCTATTGTTGAGAAGCAAATGTGTTGCCCTTCAACCAGACGATGAGTGTGATACGGCTGCTTTGCTGTTCAGTATGTCCTGAGCAACCTTAAAATGCTATGCTTTGTCACAATTACACTAAGCCAGGTGTATCCTTACAGTTAAAATACACATTCTGTATTCAAGGAGGCTAAAGACTCACCTGCCAGTTGCTGGGACAGAGGCAAAAGAAACCATCCAGCGAGTTTACACAGGTCCCTGAGTTCTCACATGGGTTACTACTGCAGGCTTTCCTCTGGATAGCCTGAAACCCAGGAAAAGTGCAGAAAATGAAGTTTCTTCTTACTTGGTGTTTCATTAGCATTTATTTTCAAGATATACTTTTTTTTTGTCTTTTCTTCCATTCTTTCTTGGGTTCCTCTTCCCCCCCCCCCCTTTTTTTTCC